TTTGCTAAGATTTTTTCCCTCTCTCTCTTTATTTTCACGGAACAATTTATTCTATACGCAATAATTTATCATCAATAGAAACGATAGAACTGCGAGAATGTGCCGCAAAAGCAAAGAGACAGGATCCATTCGGAGAGGAACAAATTTCGCGGTGAGGATATAAAGAGAGGAAGAAGAAAAAAGAAAGGATCGTGCTTCACCCATTTTGCCGGATGCTGGCTCTCTGGCAGAATTCCGGGTTGGGCGCAACCTTGAAAACTTTCGTGATTAATGTTGGCCAGGGAGAAAAAGGAGCACCGCGTATACGTATCCCCGAAATCGCATCCCGAATGGAGGAACATCCTGTACTCTGTCGTGGCCTCGGCTCGGCTATGTATCAATAATGAAAAATTGCGGCCCGGTTCGCGAGGACGCGATAAATCTCCTGCCACCGCTACAAAATCGTTAACATCGCTCGAATTCGGGTTAATTGATTCGTCAATTGCGATGTAAACTCGATCGAATCGTTCGATTTTATCGATTGGAGAGTAAAAAATAATAATAATTCGACAACAATTTTAACTAAAAAAAGTCTACGCGACAATAGTTCATCCCAACACAGTTGCACTTTCTCTTTTTCTCTAATTTACACTTCTACTTTCCAATCCCAAGCAGTTAATCCTGTAGCTGCGCAACGTGCTGGAACGTCGGCCATTTGCAATATCATTCACTATATTATTATTATTATTATTATATTATTATAAGAAAATTAAAAATTTACCTTTGGAAATTGTCAGCATCGTATTTAATAATAAATATATCTATAACTTTGCTGGCTACGAAATTAAGAGAATATTGCATAAAGCGGGAGGAAATTGAGGAATAAATAAATGATTACGTAAAATTCTTAAAATAGTTGAAAATGATTTACGTTGGTTGTGATTTTTAGAGAAGGAAGTAATTTTAGAAACGAAACATTATTCAAGAAACAACAGTATCGTGCACAATTCGTATAAACCGATTATATAATAAAAGACATTTTAATAAAATTAAACAGGACAAAGAGGAAGACGTTGAATCGATGGATAAAACTTTACAAAAAAAAAAAAAAAAAAAAAAAAAAAATGAATCACGTTAGCCTGACTCTCCCTACGAGGCCAACGCGTAAACGAACCGTTTCCCGCAAGTTTCTCTACTATAAGGTGTACACAAGTCTGTAGAGTGTTCGTTAGAAGGCAATTTGGGTTGCAAACTGGCACGTGTGCGACACCACGCGCTCCAATGGAAACCAATGACCCGAGAGCGTACGCCCCTCCGCCTTTCCCTCCCTCTTTTCGTCTTTCTGCCGTTGGCGTGTCATCGACTGGCAGAAACGGAGCGGGGACGGATCACCAAACTGTTGGAGTCATCCATTATTCCAACTTGCGCCCCTTGCCTCCACAGACCGAACAAAGCGAATCGTCTCCCTCGAAACGAGCCCTGCTGCACGTCGTTAATGAATCCTAAGAATATCTCGAGACGATCGAAAACCGATCCACAGTTTTCCTCTTTACGGTTAACAGTTTGAGAGATTCTTCCGTCGTCCCATTGTACGTTAATTATCGTAACTGTTGTAATTTAGGTTGGTTAGTTCGTGCTTGTAGAATAACAATTTAATGAAAGAAACTCTTAAAATGTCCTATAAATCTTTACGAAAGAATAATAAATTAATAATAATCAAACGATGCCTCCTTGTTTGTAAATTTTGAATATTAGAATATTATAGTTACAATTTGGAAATATAACATAAAGTTACAAAATCCCCATTTTGTTCCTAAAAAAAAAAGTACAAAATACGATCGAGGGCCGTATCGAGCAACGTTCGAAAGAAAGATCCTCCGCGGAATATTTCGAAGAGGAAATAAATCGTCTGAGAAAAACGATCGTCTGGGCGAACCTTCTCTCTCCACTCGTTCCACTATTTTGATTTTTTACGCGGCTTTCTAGCGATTCGAATCCAATCGAGGAAAAGAAGAAGAGGAGGAGGCCGTGGAGAGAATCCTGCATGAATAATTGATTTCCGGGCCGTGAATGAAAGCGAGGGGGAGGGCGTGTTTGCGTCGGTTATATAGCCGATCACCGGCAACCTCTGGACGGAATAAAGCTGGTAATAAATGCGAATACCTTGGAGGGGGGGCCGAGAAAGGGCCGGCCTTCCGGCTGAAATATCACGCCAAGATCTATTCCAACTGATTTCCACTTGCTCCGCGATTAATACATTATGCTACCGTCTCTTCTCAAACCGTCCCTCCCCGAATAAATGATTGACGAGATCGCGGAATTGGCGCACTCGGAGAAATTGGTCGAATCGCTTTCATAAAGCGATTATAATAATTTTTTTTCGAGGAAAAAGGAGAAACGCATCTTTGAATATCGATGATCGTTTTTTCCCACGAGATTAATAAAATAATGTATGTATATAAAATATGTATAAAATAATAAAGTAATGTAAAATATAATTATATATTATTAATATATACTGAGAGGAGAAAGGATATTGTGTTCTGTGTTCATGTAATAATATAATAATACTTTCAGATTGGAAAGGTACAAGTTTCGAAAGTGTATATTTATAATATCATACTTTCTTCTATCCTAGAGTATATATCACTGAATAAACGAAATGTTACGTTCGATCGACACGAATCACGAATGAACTTGAACGGACTTTAACTGGTTTTGGAGGGAGGGATTACCTAATCTAACGAACTTCAACTCATTCACCAACAGATTCCCCAATGGAAACTAACTCGCTCCTTCAACCTATCGCACATACATTATACACAAACCCCTCGCGCATCTCGTACGAAATTCAACCTCCCATTTGCACCTCGTAAATGTCGTAAATGTTACATTGTATACGCAACACGAGATTCGGCGTAGACGTAACCAAGATAAAAAAATATAATTATAATATACGAATAAATAATCCACCCACCTATCGTTATCATCATTCTAAACAAATAAATAATTTCAGCTTAATCAGAAGCTTATCAGAATTATACATATACAAAATCTAACTGGAGACGAATCAAATGAAATATTTCCATTCGTCGAAATACAAATAATCAAACACAAGGAATTATTTTCGATCCGGGATAATGGTGAAATTGATCCCCGAATTGGCATCGTTTAAACGCTCGTTAAGGGCGCGTGAATCGCACCCCCTAATTCCTTCGAGGACTTCCTCGAGGAAGGAGCGTGTTTAAAAAATGGTCCTTCGTAGGGTGGAGGGCAAAACGTGGGTAAAACTGGACGCGTACAAATGCAAGCAACGAAAGGACACGCGGCTACGTAAAGAGCCTCCCTCCACCGCGTTCCCAAAATGAAATATCGCGGGGAACAAGCGGGCCCAAAGCGTGTTCCAAGAGGAGGGAGGAGGAGAGGGGGTGGAAGAGAGATGGAGAAAGGTTAATAGGAATTCCCGGGCATAGTGTCGGGATAGTTTCAATCGGACAAATTGAGGTGATTCATTTCCCGCCATTGCCGGAATGAGCGCAGAAAGTTGCAAAAAGTGCGGCGCGCACTCGACGATTTTCCATCGTGCCGCCGTTAATTACGATCTCGTTCACGGGATCGATTTCTTTCTCTCTTCCTTTCTTCTCGTTCGAAAGAGTACTCCTTGAATTCTCGACAGATCAAGGATATTTTCTGCGTGCCCCGAAGATATTGAAGGGTTATATCGAAGAAAGCATCGAAGATTCGATCGCTAAATATTGCATATATTAGAAGTGGATTCAACTTGATTCAATTTTCGTTTAATTATCACATCACACTTGTGTGGATTGTCTTTTTTACACGAGCGAATGCAAAACTCGCAACAATTGAAAACTAGGCAAAAATATATGTAATTGAAAGGAAGCCTCGAATTATTCGATTATTGCAAGGGATTCGAGAAAAAAAAATCCATCCCCCTCCCCCTCCTTTCTCTCTTTCTTTTCGTTTCATAAATTGACAGAGGACATCCACCCCCTTTGTATTAAAATATAACTCCGTTTTAACGATTCGATTAATCACGATTAATTCCGCACGGAGGCGCGATCCAGCATGGAAATGTCAATATTTCAATGGAACAAATTAAACAATGGTCCCCCTCCCTCCTTCCCCTCCCCGAAACGATGCGAAAATGGCGCGCCGCGACGGGCAAAAAATTAATCCTCGGTGAAGCGATTCAATCGCGTTTTGTTTACTCCATCCCGGCCTTCCACCGCTTTGTTGCCCTCCCCCTCCCTCCCCCCTCCCACTGTTGCAGTTAATTCCCTCCATCGTGTACAATCGTGTACCCGTATCTTCCCGTTTAAATTATACGCGGCTTCGATTCAAATCGCATTAAAGATTTATCCACGGCTCTCTCGTTTTCCACGATGCTATATACGCATATACTATGTATATATATATATATAGAATATTCGAGTTTATTTTCTGGAGATAGACAGAGGGGGTGGAAGCCGATAATCGAAGACCGTGACAAGTTTTATCGATTAAAGAGAGCTAGCTAGTTTGTTTTCGTGATTGAAGAAATTCGGTGAGAAAAGTGGAACGAGGAATATTGTTCGATCTAAAGAATAACCAGTTCGAGTTTTCGCGAATCGAAACACGACGAGTTTCGGGATTCTTCGATATACGATCGTTTTGATTAATTGCGACGTGATTCGTTGAATCAGGAAGGATGATGAGGGCGTATTTTCGAGAACGTTTGACCCATACTGAGTGATAAGAAGGGAAAGGAGAAATGGATCGTGCGAACGAGAGATGGCTGACATCGGCTCCTCTGAGATAAAAGAAACTTGTATGGCAACAGATTTATGACTTCGTTGCGCGATAAAGAAGAACTATGTGCTATTAAACTCATGTGAGCATTGAGGTCTAAGTAGTTAATGGCCGCTGTGGCGCTAGTATCGCGACAGTAGCCGTCACAGTGTTGATTCAGCTTCAAAAAAAAAAAGAAAAAAAAATTAATAAAGAAATTGTGCGTGACATACCTTTCATCTGCTGACTCGCTAAGTAGGGTATCTAAAACAACAAGAAAAAAATTCGAACATAAAAAAACTCTTCGCTCTATTGAAAGTTATATTTCTTTATATTATATTCCTTTTAATATGAAATATAAAAATTAACAAGAATCTTTGCAATTTTTTATCTTTGTCTATGCAGATAATTAAGATTCAGATAACGGACATATATTCCGAATTATATGTTAATTCACTGTACAATGTAATTCCGAATCTCGATTGTTCGAAGTTTAATTATTCAAACGATGATTATTCGAACAGAGAACGATTGTACGCGTATACATTTAAACGAAAAGTGCAATATATATTTACATCAATCCATATTCTGGAACGCAATACGTAAAAATAATCTTGACTTTGGCTTTCACTTCTTAATTTCTTTCAATAAACATCCTTCTATTCGAAAATATATCTCATCTCGTTAAGAAGCTTCGAGATTTTTATTTTAACCCAATCCTTGCAACGACGAGTCGATGAGATTAGCCCCTGGAAACGGATAGAAACTTCGAATCGTTTAATCATCCGCCACTGCGGATGACGATTGTTACGTAAATCGTTGGGTGGAGCCGATTCGAGGCAAACACGATGGAAATTGCAACCTGTCAACGCGACTCCGGATTCCGATCGATCGTTTACCCGGTCAAAATTGGATAAGAAACACGCTCGTTCGAGCGTGATGATAAGGTTGTAACCGTGCACAGATATGACGGCATAAGCTTCATCTTTATCTCTCTCTGTTTCCGTGAATATACGACGAATATATACTTACGTCAACGACAGATTTACTCGCGGGAAACGCAATATTATTCTTCGGGAAGTATAAACATTGGTACGTGAAATATTTTTACCGTGGAAAGTGTTTATGAAAATTGACACATAAATCGCGATATCATTTTGCCCAAATCCAAATTTAATTTCGACTCGACAAATTGTACGTGTGGATAATCGAAATTCGTTTGCAATTGTTTTTTAACACGAAAATAAAAATGCAAAACGGACATCGTTATTCTAGACGGATCGAATTATTCCCCTTAGAATTATTCACCGCCGAAAGAGATTATTTGTTAAAACGGTAATTGTCATTGAATTAATTAAATCGAGTCGGTAATAGTAGTGGAATTAGCGGTGGCAATTACATTTCGTAGTGAATCGAGTTAATCCAATGAGAACAACGTTATCATTGATATCTCGATTATAATACACGCGTAAATCATTCGTTCAGAACGAATTTTCACGATCCTATTTCTGCTTGATCTTTCGAGATTCGGGAGAAAAATAAGAAAGCTAAGAAAATGAGAACCAAACACTATTTTTTATATAAATCTTCATATTTATCTTCGAATCAAAGAAAACTATCCACAGTTAAACATATTTTCTGTATACGTAACTTCGATTTAAATAACCTCGTTTCTTAACAATCCCAATTCCAACGATCTTTATTATCTCAAATAAGAATGTATATAACTATTTCACGACTATATTAATTACAGACAATCCGCTTATAAATAAACCACGTGTGCGTACACCTTATATACGCCGAACACGTTTTGCAAGCAACCCTGAAAAAAAGAAGGCGCGCAGCCTTCACACCATCACCTAGATAGATCCGCAAAAGGACCACGCCGGACAGGCCGCCCACGGACCCTCCTAGACGAACCTGTTGCTCCTGGGCAATTAACAACGGAGAGCGCGAACGAAAAAAGAAAAAAAAGGGAAAAAACGAGAGGAAGAGAGCGAGAGAGAGAGAGAGAGAGAGAGAGGGAGGCGTAGGAAATAATAAAAGCGGGTCAGCGAGCGCGTTCGTTGCACCGAGCTTTTATGAAATCCCGCCTCCGTCCACCGGTATAATAATCGAGATGAATAGGTGGCGTGCGCGGCGACAAGCGAGTGAAAACGACGAGCAGGGAGACGGACAGGTAGACGGTGGTGAGGATGGAGAAAGATGGTGAAACGCGCAGGTGGAAGATGGAAGAGAGGGAGGGGTGAAAAGGGAGCGCGTGTGCGCGCGTGTGTGGAGTTGTGCGCGGGTGGAATCTGGAATTACAGGTCGTTACGTCGAGGTTTGTGGGGAAAATTAACGTCCATTTCGGTAAACTGAACGGAAAAGCGGACGAACGACAGTTCCGTTGAAACCGTCTGAGCTGGTAAATTTAAATAAGCGCTTTCTAACGGGTGTCCCCATTTTTGGTTGGGAAATTTCGTCGGAAGGATTTCTGGATCGTTGACGATTCTCCTCCGATCGTTGTGCAGTTCCGCCATTTTTTTGCGGAGAGATTTCTGGCGCTCAGTTTGTTCAGCAAATCGGATTTCTAAAGGAAATTCCCAATAGAGATATTTATTTCAATAATTCTAGAATGATACGATAACGCATTACGTTCTGTAAGAATATCTAGGAAAAGCGTGTATTGATAAGGAAAAATAAAAATAAAAGTTAAGAGATAAAGGTTAAGTCATTTTCACGAGAAAAAGTGAAATCATGGAAAGAATGGGATAAAACAACGACGTGACGAAGGAAATAGAAACAGTAAGGATAAACAATAGCATTCAAATAAAAGCGATCGTTGTTCGGGAAATTTCTCTGGAAAACTTCGTAACCAGGAAAGCGGACAGAATGGTGTCAGCATTGTGGAGAGTTCGAGCGGTCGGATCCCCAACCGGGGACGCAATAAATCCAAAGCAACGTTCTGGCAGCTAAACTGCGACGTCATTCTCTGGACGGTCGTGAACGTGACTAACAACATCCTCTCCCTCGCGGTTCGGCTACCCACTACTAGCCTAATCTTGCTTTTTCCACTGCGTATGAAATCCAATTTTAGATGTTCGCGCCACGCCACGAATTTTACTGCCACCGTTCCTCGGCCAAACGATAATATCACCCCGGATAACAGCGAATTTTCCCGAGGAAATTTTCGAATTCTGATTAATTTAATTTCGAGAGAGGAAGGGTGGGCAGACGAAGAAGATAGGACATTCAACTTTTCAAACGTTTAAACTTTTGAAAAGGGGATGAAAAAGTTTCGAATCCTCGAACTTTGCTTTAACTATTCGAGTCTGAAGAAATTGAAATTTGTTAAGATTTTATTGTTACAACTCTTCCTAGGGGGTTCTCGAAGGTGGCCTATAAAATTTTCGTATAAAAGAATTTTTCCAGAAATTGCAACTCGCCGAGAATTCCTTTTCAATCTCCTAGAGTTTGGAAAACTCTTCGAGAACTTCTTCGCGAAATTAAATCTAAAAGTTAAGTTTTCGTGCATCCATTAAATGGAAATGAATAATTTCTACAATTAATAAATATACTTGGAATCGCTGAAAAACTATTGAATTCGCGACGATCGTGTTACCGAGAACGACGCGACACGCACAATGGGTCAAAGACAGCTTTAGCTCGGTTCGCGAACCGTATTAATAGCTTCCCGAATTTCGAGAATTTTCTGGCCAAGCTGAAACTAAGAACTAGAGCTCTTGCTGTTTTTCTTGGACCTACGGGTATCCGAACTTGAATACTCGAATACCCACTCGATCGGGATCCAAATATATCCCCGTACTCGGATACTTGCTTAATTTAGATCCCGAGTAGGACGTTAGATCGAGATTCTTTTGTATTAATAAAGCGGTTGCGATATAAATAATTAATAAATTGCTCTATATTATTACTCAATAACCGAGATCCCGTTGCGTAAACAAAGCATCCTTCATTCTTGACTGACTCCCTTATTCGAATATCAACATTCAATTAATAAATCAATAAATTCATCCCTCGAAGCGATCACATTTTTGTGAATGCAACTATTCCCCCCTCCCCCTTTCTTTTTAATTAAAATTTCTTAATCTCAAAAATAAATCGTAAGATTTTCACATCTTTTCAAAATCCTCCCGAGGAGCACCGTTGAAACCGTAAACCGTAAATCGTCTCCCAAGAGATCTATCCATTATCCCTTTAATAACTCGTCGCGTCACGACGCCAATCAACCTTTGATCGATCCAAACTCGTGACACGCGCGAGTCGATAACGGAGGGGGTGGAGGGGGGCGAAAACCGCGTGAACGGAAACGATGAAGAGTGGAGAAAGAGGGCAGAAAGAGTGGAGGGGAGGGTTGGATCGAGGAAGCGTGGAAAACCGATGCAACCAGCCTCGTACACTTTGTTTTAACTCTCTCCACGCGGCACGTTCCTACATTTCTCTTCCATATACACACACGTATGTGTACACGTACGCACACATATATGTATATACACACACACACACACACGAGCGCACTCCTCCACCTCCAGCAACGGTGCATCTGCGCGTGCATGTGCACGTACGTGTGCACCACGTCGACCGGCACGTTGCCGGGTATTATCGATCCTCGGTATCACACGGACATTCCTGCTCGAATGCTATCGCGTACTCGCGCCTATTCGAGGCTGTAAACGTGTCTCTCTCTCTCTCTCTCTCTCCCTCTCTCTCTATTTCCTTTGAATAATTACGGAATTGGATGTCTTTTTTTCGGAATAATTTTTCGTTCTGTGTGAAAGAAAGAATTTGTACGAGAGAATTAAATCAATATTTGAAAATTTCTTCTACTTTTCTAATCGCCATCACCGATTCTTTCCCCGTTTTCTTTTTGGAATAAGAGCAGAGCGACGCCATTTTCGTAAATTCGAGTCACAACGCGTGACGGATACGCGTGTCGACGAAGGAACGTTTATGGGAACGTTTCAAAAATTCCAAGAGATTCCTACTTTATACTTACGTTTATACACAGAAGATTAATCGCACAAGGTTTGAAAGTCGTATTATAGTGTATATAAAGTGGAAGTGAGGCGGCAACGATGCGTGGAACGAGAAATCTTCGAAAGAGGGGAAACGGTATTTATGTTCTTTCCTTTGAAAGACTCGTGGGTACACCTTCGTGGGGCTGTACGTCGTTTTGGGTGACGTCATTCCTTGGACGAGAGTTCGTGAACGACGTTCACTCGTTCAACCAATAACCTTCGATCTCTCTTTTTCCAATCTCT